GAGTGGGGATAGGGAGATGAATAACGGTTCTGCTTGAGCTCTGCGCATTGGCCAGTGTGCCCTGTATAGTTTCCATTAAGTTTTGCGGGTCTGAAAATGCTGACCCCCAGTTGTTGAGGTGACTAAGCGGTGATGGTGTCCAGGTCCAGATTAATATGGGACCGCTGGCAAGCACTGACTTTTGCTAGCACTTTCTCCATCCTTAGGTCAGCATCATTGCTTATGAGTTTAAGCATTTGCAAACAAAAGCGCTAGTTTGGTGGGTTTTTTGTGGACAGTTGGTTGTATTCCCACAGTCATGGGCACAGTTAGCTTTGGGTTAGGGAGGAGGAAATGGATGGTGGAGGGGTTGGGATTGTTATTGCCCATCTGCCTAGAAGCTGGAGTGGAGGAAGAAGGGGTAGGTCTGTTTCCATAGCAGTGGAGGCTAAGACCAGGGAAAAGGGGGTGGACACAGCCATATATGGTGAGAGGTGGGAGATTTCTTCAGTCTCCCTATATCTCATTGTTTTTCATGAATTAAGGACTGCCTGAGCACTGACCACACTGGGAGTGACCAAATGAGGGAGGGTGGAGGGGACCTAGTGATGCTGTCAACATGTTGGTGTGCTGCTACTCACCAGCTGATTTGATGCCAAGGTGTGCAGGCATTCTCTCCAGGAAGCTGAGGACAGTTGAGTGGGATAGTCCAGGATCTTGATGTTTGTGGTATTTGAGCTGCTTTGCCTCAGTTGCTGTCAAATTTCCTGTCCAACAGTTATGGACAGGACAATGGACAGTGTAAACTCCTTCTGTCTCTACTCCTCAGCCCTGGTCAAAGTAGGGTCAGAGATTCATTGTGTTCCTCACATTATGTCTCATAGGAATTGTCAGATAGTTCTGAGTTGACCCTGGAGGCATCGACGAAGCAGGGCTCAGCTGAGTCATCATCAGCCAGTAACCATGGCAGCTCCACATAATAGGGCAAGTCACCCCTTGTGCCTTCAAGACATGATTGGTATCATGGGCTATCTTGTATCATGCCACAAATACTTGGCTTTGAATCAGCACTTGTGCCAGTCACAGTAACACCCACAAGCTCTGATGCTCTCTGCTTATAGCTTGGTTGCAGGGGCTCTGTCTTCGGGAGAGTTGCATGATCGCTAGAGAGTTAGGAGGTCCATGACCTCCACATGCCTTTAGTTCATGCAGAGTCATGCAGATGTGGCAGAAAATTCTGGTGGCAGCACATGATGCCTGTTCCTTCCTGTCTGAGAGCACTAAAGACACTTGGATTGCTACAAATGTTACTACTATACATGTTCCAAAACTAGACAAAACTATGTATTTCTTGGCAAAAGTATGTTTGTTTTTTTTAGTAATAATTGGTATTTTCGGTCTCCCAATCCATTTAATCACAATATAGCCTTAAGAATTCTAATACAATTAATATACCAAGCAGAGGTATGACATAATGAGATTCAACTATGGGCCAGTTATTTACACACTAGAACTTATTTCTATCTGTTCGTTAGTTTGTAATACTAGAAATTTTTGTCCTTGATATCACTCTTTTCAAGGCATCCTTCACTTCCTTGTTCCTCAGGCTGTAGATCAGGGGGTTCAGCATGGGAGTCACCACTGTGTAGAACACTGAGGCCCATTTGTCCTCTGGGTGCCTGTCATTTGTTCTGGGTTTCACATGAATAAAGAGACAAGTGCCATAGAAAATGCTAACCACTGTCAGGTGGGAGGTGCAGGTGTTGAAGGCTTTGCGTTTGCCCTCAGTGGAGTGCATTCTCAGGATGGCAGAGAGGATAAAAATGTAGGAGGTGAGGACAATGAAGCTGCTGCACATACCAAACCCAATAGCCACAGTTAGTAGGACAATATGACTTATCGTGGCATCAGAAGTGGAGAGTGATAACAGTGGGGAGACGTCACAGAAGAAGAGGTTAATGACATTGGGGCCACAGAAGGTTAATTGTAATATGCCTGTTGCTTGTGCCATTCCATTTAACCACCCAGCTATGAGTGACCCAATTACCAGCTGAGCACAGAGCCTTGGGGACATGGTGACAGTATACATTAGTGGGGCACAGATAGCCACATAACGGTCATATGCCATTGTTGCTAGGAGGAAACACTCTGCTACCCCAAAGAAACATAAAAGGAAAACCTGAGCCACACATCCAGAGTAAGAAATGGCTTTCTTATCTGCTAACAGATCAGCCAGCATGTTGGGGGTAACAACTGTAGAAAAACAGAAATCTACAACAGCCAAATTACCAAGGAAATAATACATGGGGATTTTAAGCCGAGCGTCAGTTCTGATCAAAAAGACCATACCAAGGTTTCCCATTAGGGTGATCACATAGATTAGGAGGAACAGCACAAAGAGGGTGACTTGAAACCCTGGATGTTCTCTGAATCCTGTGAAGAGGAATTCAGTCACCTGGGTGCAGTTTCCTCCATCCATTTTCAGGGAGGGCTGCCTGTGCATGCAGAATACAGATGAAGAGAGTGAATTAGCCTTAATCTGTTTATTCCAACCAGTTTAAAAAATAATTGAGTAGTGTTATAGTGTTATGGATTTTTCAAAGATGGAAGACTCATTTTACAGTGCTCTGTCTCGTCTGTTGGTGTCACTGATTCTGTTCAGATGCAGAGATACAAGATTTTCCTAAGAAATTCAGAGATCATTCAGAATCTTACTTTGCCAGAGGAAAAGAGAATAATGCAGAAAAGAAACATTGGGTATTCCCTTCTGCAGGCTAATGCTGTTCTGTGTGTGAAACATACCCCTCATTTGGCTTGACCTGCAACCTTCATCTTGTAAATTTGTAAGAGAACCCTTCATCTCACCTTATCCCCGCTTACTAAATATATTCAGAAAGCCAAGACAAAATAATTCTCATTCTGGAAATTTTCTCACTTAATCCATTTCATCATTAAGTCTGAAAGTTTCAGGTAATATAAGTGCATAAAAGTTAGTTAAACACAATGTAATAAACAAGGTATATCACCATTTAGTTAATTGTAAAGCTAGAGAGATTACTGTGATTGTTTACCTATGGTCAGTCTTTCCTAGGACACATTTTTTATAGTTGACTACATGAAACATCTGATCAGAAAAAAATATCATCTTATGCTTAGGCAGACAAGGTTCTTTGGATAAATGTGATATCTTTTATTAGACCAACAAAATAGTTGGAAAAATTGCTCCTTACAAGCTTACAAGTACAAACACCCTTGTACCTGAAAACTTGCAAAGAACAATTTTTCCAACCACAGCAAAAGCTTTGTTATCTGGCATGAATGGGGAATAGGGGCAGGAGTTTTAGGCAGGGTGGGGGAGGGGGTGGTGGTGGCCACACACCGAGTGGTGGCAGCGCAGGGTGGTGGGTGGTGGCAGCCACCACCACATACAAGCCCCTTTCCCCACTAATCTGACCGCCTGGCTGGAAATTCTGGTTAATAGAAATACCGGTTACTAAAATGCGGGTTAACACAGGTTTTACTGTATTGATTTAGTTGGTCTAATGAAAGATATCACATTAACCAAAAAAACTTTGTCCGCCTATGTCCTTAGACCAATACAGCTGCAACCAACATCATCTGCTTAGCCTTTTTTCAGGGTGTTCTCAGTGAATGTCCCTCACCACTGCCTGGTTGCCCAAGAGAGTATTAACTCTTCCACTGACCTGGAATAATCTAGGATGAGATAAGAGATAATCCTGTCTTGGAGTGGCATAACTTTGAGATGCATACCAAGTGCTTTAATTAAGAGTGGGTGTAGATGTGCAGGGAAGTTGCTCTGATGTGCTGTAATTAGTGTGCATCAGAGCAAAAGTGATTAATTGAGTCTGCTGGAGTGTGCTAAGTAGTGCACCTCCAGCAGCCTCTGCATCTCATGTATCAGCATCCCTGCACTTCAAAATAGCAGCAGGGCTGCTTTAACTAAAGATTGTTAGATGGGCTTTAGTTAAAGTGCTCCTGCTGCCATTTTGAAGCTCAGGGATGCGGTTACATGAGACACTGGGTGCTTTTATTAGACAGACTCTTGGAGCTGTTCTAATTAAAGTGCCTCCCTCCCCACCACCACATCCCCATGTGTAAAAAGGCCCTAGGGTGTTAATATGTGGACAATCCAGGGGCTAAAAGCTCCAGGAGCTGCCCAAAATTAACATGTAACAAGGCCCTGAGTCTCTTTGCATGACAGTCAGAGACATGCACTTGTAAATACCCCTTGGCTATCTTTAAGCCAGCCCCTTTGGGCACCCACAGCAGGAAACTGTAGCAGTACCAGAAGCATCCTAGATTATTCAAGGTCAGTGACAAAGTTAGGACTCTCTTGGGCATCCAGACAGTGCTGATGGGCTTTTACCGAGTAGACCCTGAAGAAAGACTAAGCAGAAAATATTTTTTTCTTATCAAATATTTCACACAGTCAACTACAAAAAATGTATCCTAGGAAAGACTAACCTTAGGCTGGTGAGTGGGTGTGGGTGTGTTGCCCCCTGATCCAGGTTTCCTTACCCTGCCCCAGGTTCTCTTCAAAAGAATATGGTTATACTATGTAGGGGGGGACTGGAGAAGCTCAACAAATGAGTAGGAAGGAATATAAGATTCTAATGTGGCATCTTTGTCAGGGCAGGACCAAATTTCCCAACTAGCAACTTCCTTCTATATTATATTTGGGTTTAGAGTGAATATTCCCTCCTTCCCTTTGTCCCTTTTTGTTATGTCTTTGTGTTCTCTTTTTTCTCACTCTTGCTCTCTCTTTCTCTCTCTGTCTTTCTTAGCAAGTCTGTATCCTAATCCTAATAAGTAAATATTTTAACATTAGAAGAATTTCCCATTTCAGATTAATTATCCTAGTCCCCTTCTTATAAATTATCCTTTGCAGCTTGTCTTGTGAGAAATTCTGTGAAACTGACCTTGTCTCAGAGGCACCTCCTTCTGAGGTTAGTAGATACAGAGCAGCTCCAGGTCTGAGATGCACAACGGAAGCTGGTCACAAGCCACCTCTTCCTTCTTTCTCTAATATTTGCTCTGAGCTTACTCCTGGAGCCTTGGGACTTTCCTGGATTTTCATAACCAGGGAATTGGGACTCAAGTCCACAGAGAGTAAGTGTGCAGAAAGCAATCCATTAACATATCTCCAAGCCCTTTGTATTAGAAATTAATTGTACACAGAAATCCTGATTCTACTTCCAATGAGCCCACCTGTGTTTGATCATAGATTCATAGATTCAAAGATTCATAGATGCTAGGGTCAGAAAGGACCTCAACAGATCATCAAGTCTGACCCCCTGCTCTGGGCAGGTAAGAGTGCTGGGCTCAGATGACCCCAGCCAGATGCCTATCCAGCCTTCTCATAAAGACCCCCAGGGTAGGGGAGAGCACCACCTCCCTTGGAAAGCCATTCCAAATTCTTGTCACCCTTACCATGAAGTTCTTCCTGATGTCCAGCCTAAATCTGCTCTCTGTCAGTTTGTGGCCATTGTTCCTTGTTACCCCAAGAGGTGCCCTGGTGAACAGAGCATCTCCGATTCCTTGCTTCCGCCCCGCCCCCCAATGAATTTGTAGGCGGCCACAAGATCGCCTCTCAGCCTTTTATTGTGGAGGCTGAAGAGATCCAGGTCCCTTAGTCTCTCCTTATAGGGCTTGGCTTGTAAACCCTTAACCATACAAGTGGCCCTCCTGTGGACCCTCTTGATGTTATCCACATCCTTCTTAAAGTATGGTGCCCCAAACTGGATACAATACTCCAACTTTGGTCTGACCAGTACCGCATAGAGGGGAAGTATCACCTCCTTGGAACTATTTGTGATGCATCTGCTAATGCATGATAAAGTGTGGTTAGCTTTGCTGATGATTTCATCACACTGATCACTCATGTTCATCTTGGAGTCCACTGTGACTCCGAGATCCCTTTCCACTTCTGAGCTGCTGAGAGGGTCGTTCCCCAGCCAGTCGGTGTGCTGGATATTTTTACACCCTAGGTGCAGCACTCTGCATTTGTCCTTGTTGAACTGCATTCTATTGTGTACTGCTCACTTTTACAACCTGACCAGGTCTGCCTGCAATTGTTCCCTACCCTCCATTGTGTTCACCCCACAATTTAGTATCATCCACAGACTTGGACAGAGTACACTTCACATCCACATCCAAGTCACTGATGAAGACATTGAAGAGTACAGGTCCATGGACTGAGCCCTGCAGGACCCCACTACTCACATCCTTCCAGGTCAATACCAACCTGCCCACCACCACTCTCTGGGTGTGACCCCCCAAGCCAATTTGCCACCCACCAGACTATGAAATCATCTACATCACAGACTCTTAATTTATTTATGAGAATGGGGTGAGATACCATATTGAAGGCCTTCCTAAAATGCAAGTAAATGACATCTACCTCTACTTTTGGGTCTAAGCATTTTGTAACCTGGTCATAAAAAGAAACCAGATTAGTCAGGCATGATCTACCTGCTATGAATCCATGCTGGTTTCCCTGCTGCATTATTTTTCCTGCTGGACTCACACAAATATGATCCTGAATAATTTTTTTAAGGCTTTTCCAAGGATAGGGGTGAGACTAACTGACCTATAATTACTCGGATCCTCCTTCCTCCTCTTCTTGAAAATAGGGACCACTCTGGCCCTTTTCCAGTCCTCTGGGACCTGACCTGAGCAGCACGAGTCCTCAAACAGCCGTGCCAGTGGTTCTGCTGTGACACTGGCCAATTCCTTCAGTACCCTCAGATTGAGCTCAGCCGGGCCTGCTGACTTAAACACATCCAGTTTATCCAAGTGACTCTGCACCAAGTCAGCGTTGACAGCTGGTGGCCTGGTGTCCCTCTGATGCACATCTAACAACCCATTAGGAGGCTTGTCTTGACCCTTGTTCAGGAACACTGAGGCAAAAAACTCACTGAAGAGCTCAGCCTTGTCCCCCCTGTCTGTCACTAATTGCTCATTCTTGCTCAGTAGGAGTCCTATGCTGCCCTGCACCTTCATTTTACTCCCTACATACCTAAAAAAAGGCTTTTTGTTGTCTTTAATTTCTGTTGCCAGCCTCAGCTCTGTAGTTGCTTTGGTGTTTCTAACTGCCTCCCTACAAGTGCAGGCCAACTAGGTATACTCCTTTGTAGCTTCCCCCTGTTTCCACTGTCTGTATGCCTCTTTTTTGCCCTTAGGCGTCCCTGGATTTCTCTGTTTAGCCAAGGAAGTTTTTTGGCCCCTTTCTCCCCTTTCCCTTGCAATGGGATCGTCTCCCTCTGCGCCAAAAGGATCACTTCCTTTAGGAACGACCACCCTTTCTGGTTTCCCATCTAACCAATACTCCTATTCTGCAGTGCATCCTTGACTAAATTCCTGAGCACACTGAAATTAGCCTTCATAAAGTCAAACACTTCCACCCTATTAGTTATCTTTCCCACCCTACGCTGTATGGTGAATTTGATTGATTGATGG